GCGTGGGTTTTAAGCCACCGGGTCCGGGACGCGAACCGCAGTAGACTGCGTGGGAGTCCAGCGACATAGCCATTACGCTAACTGCTGGTTCCCAAAAAAGGATACATTTTAAAACCAGAAAATAACACAACTAATGCTGACATGCTTTGTTCAATGTTTTAAACCTTTTTTTTTCTTTTCTTTCTTTCTTTCTTTTTTTTTTTTTTTTTTTTAGTTTTTTTTTCCAGCCATAGGGAGTATGTGCTCACCAGAGAGAGAGAAAAGAGACAGACAAAGGAAAAGTGAGAAATCAACCCTCCCCTTGCCGGGGATGGCCACATCACAATCCCCTTTCTCTATTCTCCTCTTGGGATTTTGGGCATGCGTATACACATGCCTCAGTCACCAGTTCCGGAACTCAAACAGTGGCCAGTTAGGTGGGAGTCCAGCACATCCATCATGTCACCTGCTGGCCCCAAATCTTTAAAAAATTTAAATATACTTATTTTTTTAAAGATTTATTTAATTTTATTTACTATTACTTTAATTTGCTATAGGGCACATGTGTTCACCAAAGAGAGACAGGGAGACAAAATGAGAAAGCAAGCTACCAGGTCTGGGACGCGAACCACAGTCGGCCATGTGGAAGTCCAGTGCCTACGCCACTTGCTGGCCCCTAGATATACTTATAATCAGTTATGTATATGCTTATAGGTTTGGCTTCCCTTAATATTATAACAAAAGCACTTTCATATTACTAGTTATTTTTATTATAAAGTATTTCAAAGAAAAGTATTTATCTAATATAATGACAATATCCATATATCTACCACAAAGACTTAATAAATAAAGACTTCATTATCATTCTTTAAAAAGACACAAGAGGCCAGCAGGTGGCACAGTGGTTAAGGGTGCTGGATCTCACATGGTTGACCATGGTTTGAGTCCTGGACCTGGTGGCTTGCTCTCTCTCTCTTTGTCCTTCTCTGGTCAAATTAAAATAAATAGATAAATAATTCTCTAAAAAAAAATTTTTTTTTGGAGTGGTTTTTCGCTATAGGGCGTGTGCGCTCGCCAGACAGACAGACAGACAGACAGACAAAGACTTAGAGACAGAAAGCGAGAAATCACCCCCCAGGGGGGATGGTCACGCCGCAATCCCTTCTCTTCCATTCTCCTCTCGGGATCTTGGGCATGCACACACACGCGGCCCGCGTGAGTTTTAAGCCACCGGGTCCGGGATGCGAACCGCGGTTGACTACGTGGGAGTCCAGCGACATAGCCATTACGCTAACTGCTGGTTCCCTATAAAAAAAATTTTTTTAAATGAAATATTATGTATCATCTGAAGAGGTTATCTTCTGACTTAACTGTAATGCCCATGTAGCAGTGTTCTGAGCAGATACATCTTTTTTTTTTTTTTTAATTTTTTTTTTTTCCTGGCTATAGGGCACGTGTGCTCGCCAGAGAGACAGAAAGTGAGAAATCATCCCCCTAAGGAGGATGGCCATGCCATAGTCCCCTCTTCTCCATTCTCCTCTCATGATTTTAGGCACACATGCACATACACCTGACATGAGTTTTTAAGCTGCCCAGTTGAGACTCGAACCACTGACAACTATGGGAGAGTTCAGTGATGTAACCACTGTGCCAACTACTGGTCTCATGAGGAGATACATCTTAACTTCTTTTAACTATCCCCATATTTTCTCCTTTATAAATAATTTAGTAATTAACACCCCGACCTCCTAACCTTTTGAAAAGATTATCTACTTCAAAATAATTTCCTGGGAGGCCAGGACTCTCACTCAGTCAACTACAGTTTTAGTCCTGGATCCGGCGACTTGAATTTCATGCTAGGCTTGTGTGCCCAAAAAATCTAGAGGAAAATGGATTATGGAATGGCCATCCCCCCCCCGCCCCAGGGGGTGATTTCTGGCTTTCTGTCCTTCTGTCTGTGTATGTCTCTCAGGCGAGTGCACAAACCCTAAAGCAAAAATCTCTCTCTCTCAAAAAAAAAAAAAAAAGGTCATGGGGAATAGTTAAGTTTGGTTAAAGGACAGGAATATTCACTGACAAACTGCTTCCCAAATGCTTCCCCCAAAATTTGTAATGCACCTTATAAGCTATCAGCAGGACATGAAAGTGTATGTTTCTTTTACTAATTTAACAGGCAATACCTAGTAATTCATAGTTCTATTTTATTTTAAATTTTTGCTATGGGGTGTGTGTGCTCACCACAGAGAGAAAAAGAAGGGAAAGTAAAAAATCACCCCCCATAGGGGAATGGCCACACTGCAAATCACCCCCCATGGGGGAATGGCCACACTGCAAAATCTTTCTCTAGTCTCCTCTTGGCATTTTGGGGAAGCATGCACCTGCACCCAAGCAGCCAGGTCCAGGACCCAAATCACTCAACCAGCCATGTGGGATCCAGCACTTTAACCTCCCCTTCATCTACTGGCCCCAGTTTGTCACTGGTTTAAAATATATTTTTTCTTTCATAATTACTGGGTGTAAATTCTATCCCATCAACTAGCTATACTGATAAGCTCTCTTGTGAATCTGTAACTCAGGTTTCTCTTTCCATTAATTAGAATTAGTGCTTTTGTTTTCACTTTTAATAAATGTTCTATTTGTACTATCCAATATGGTAGTCTTAGCAGCATATGGTTAATTTTTTTCTTCTTTATGTTTGCTATGCGGCATGTAATTTCACCAGAGACGGACAGGTGGGAAGAGTGAGAAAGTACCCCCCACAGGGGAAGGTCACCTCGTCACAATCCCTTCTCTCCCACTCTCCTCTTGGGATTTTAGGCAGGTACACACATGTACCAGTGTGTTTTTTAAGCTGTCAGGTTCAGGATTCGAACTGCACAGTCAGCCATGTGGGATCCAGCCACGTAAACCACCATACTACTGGCTGGCCCAAATCTCATATGTGGTTATTTAAATTTACATTAATTGAATAAAAAATTCAGTTTATCAGTTGCACAAGTCATAATCCTAGTCCTAGTCATGTGTGGTTAGTGATCTATTGCTCTATATAATAAGATACATTGCAAAATTTATCATTCAGTCTGTTGTACAAGGGTCTCCAGACTTTCAATTCAAAATACTGCTAATAATGTCAGAAAGTTATCATAGAAGATAAACCTGATTATATAGTTCAATTCAGACAAAAAGGTTACCTTCCTTGTAGAATTTTTAATTATTATTTAACTTTATTGTGATTATTTTTTAATTTGACCAGAGAGACAGAGAGAAGGAAAATGAGAAAGCAAGCCACCAGATCCTGGGACTCAAACTGTGGTCGGCTGTGTGGGAGTCCAGCACCTTAACCAGCATGCCACCTGCCAGCCCCTTTTCTAAAATTTTTAGCGAAGTTCTCTTCAGAAGTAGGTTTCAGTAAATTATATAATCAGTCAGCTGTCTAATTCAGATACAAGCTCCTATCCAAAACCAGGAGTTGCAGGTACAGTTTGGTTAAAAGTATCCAGGGAAGATGTAAGAGGACATAGGAAAACTATATTCTACTGAAAATTATGCACCAAACAATTAAAAAATACACCTCACAATCCTCTTTTTTTTGGAGAGGTTTTTCCGCTATAGGGCACGTGCACTTGCCAGACAGACAGAGAGACAGAGAGACCGAAAGCGAGAAATCACCCACCGGGGGGATGGCCACGCCGCAATCCCTTCTCCTCCATTCTCCTCTCGGGATCTTGGGCACACATACACATGTGCCCAGTGTAAGTTTTAGGCCACCGGGTCCGGGACGTGAACCACGGTCAACTATGTGGGAGTCCAGCGACATAGCCATTATGCTAACTGCTGGTTCTCACACAATCCTCTTTTGACATCATTCTACTATTCAGTCACAGAGTTCTATGTTTGGAACAAGCAAAAAAAAAAAAAAGAAAGAAAGAAAGAAAAAGGATAGTCTGGGGACCAGCAGTTGGTGTAATGGCTATGTCGCTGGACTCTGTGTAGTCAACTGCAGTCTGAGTCCAGGACCCAGGTGCTTAAATTCACACCGGGCACATGTGCATGCGTGCCCAAGATCCTAAGAGGAGAATGGAGAAAAAAGGAATGTGGTGTGGCCATGACCCCTGGAGGGGTGATTTCTCGCTTTCTGTCTCTCTCTGTCTTTTTGGTGAATGCACACACCCTATAGCAAAAACCTCTCAAAAAAAGAAAAAGAAAAAAAAAAAAGAACAGTCTGATAATGAATTTGGTAATTAAGAAGATTCTAGAATCAGATCTGAGTTCAAATCCACCTTGTTACTTATTATCTATGTGATCTTGGAAAATGTACTGGAGCTGGCCCTGCAGCACCATGGTTAAATGCAGTGTGTAAGGAAGCTAGGTATCATATGGACAACACCAGTTTGAATCTTAGCCCAAGTGACTTAAAAGAAACCAATGAGGAGCCAGCAGATGGCACACCAGTTACATGTAGTTACACTGATGGACTCCCACTTGGCCGAACAGAGTTTGAGTCCTGGATCCGGTGGCTTGACGATCACACCAAGTGCGTGTGCATATGTGCCCAAGATCCCAGGAGGAAAATAGAGGAGAAAGGACTGTGGTATTGCCATCCCCCTGGAGGGTGAGTTCTTACGTTTCCTCTTACTGTCTCTCTCCTCCCCCAGAAAGCAAACATGCCCTAAGGCAAAAATCTTTTGGAAAAAAAAAGAGTAAGACAAATGAATAAATAAAACCATCAGGTACTGGATTAATTATTTTATCACTAATAGAATCTTTATATGAATAAACTAGTATTAGGAGGTTAACTAGTTACGACATTAAGCTGCTAAGAACATAACTTCTAAAAGTCTGATGTACAGCATGCACTTTAATATACATTTGTTAAATTATTAAAACTCTAAGATTAGTCTAAGAAATTAGGGACAAAAAAGGCTCTACCTTGTCAATAATGGACTGCATATGAGATTTGTGGGACTGGTCTCCATAAAGCAAAGATGACCACTGGTCTGGTGCAATTCGTAAGCCTGCTTCCATAGCAATCTGCACTATCTGGGAGTCATGTTCTCGCCGCAGAGCTTCATAGGTTCTAAATTCTTCTTTCAGTTGCATCAAGGAAGAGTCTTCATCACGTTTGGTGACCTAATAAGATATAAGTAATCTCATAAGGTTAAAAAAAATAAAAATGAAAAAATAAACCGAGGGAACCAGCAGTTAGCGTAATGGCTATGTCGCTGGATTCCCACGTAGTCGACCGCAGTTCGCGTCCCGGACCCCGTGGCTTAGAACTCACGCTGGGCGCATGTGCATGCGTGCCCAAGATCCCGAGAGGAGAATGGAGGAGAAAGGATTGCGGCGTGACCATCCCCCCTGGGGGGTGATTTCTCGCTTTCTGTCTCTCTTTCTCTCTCTGCCTGTCTGGTGAGCGCACGCGCCCTATAGTAAAAACCTCTCAAAAAAAAAAAAAAAAAAAAAACCAAAAAAAAACCCAACAAAAAGCATATAATAAAACATGACAACAGATGCTACATTGATATTAGTGATATATTAATGAATAAACAGAGATCCTTACCTCCAGGTTTACTATCTTGGCAGATAAAGCTTTCTCAGGCAAATACACATGGATGGACACTTGCCACCCCAAAATATGAGAACACAACACAATAAAACATGACTTCTCTTGAGTCTACACAAGAGTTAAGAAAAAACAAATAAACAAAACATGTAAATAACTGAAAATACTGGCAGGGGTTAGACAAAGATATGCACAAGGACAAATAACATCACAGACCTGAGTCATCCTGAGAGAGTGAGTAGATGACATGGAGAGAGGTAACAGGTCTCCCAGAGGAATAGAGCATGTACTTTATTAGACATAGACTAGTGATTGCTTAGGTGAAGGTCTTCAGATTTAATGTTTATGAGCTTTTGGTGAGTGGGTACAGATTCCAGAATCTCTAATTGTGTACACCTAAGAAACGTCTAGGAACCCATATTTGTAATGTGCATCTCATGTGTTTCAGATACACAGGGTCCTGGATGGAGAAAGGCTGTCTGAAGGGCAGGGTGAAGTCATGCAGAGACAGAAGGCCTTCTCCAAGAAAACAGACTTTGAACTTGAATCAAAAAGATGTAGGGGAGCCAAAAAAAAAAAAAAACCCCAACAAAAAAAAAAAAAAAAAAAAAAAACGAAAAGATTTATACTTTTTCTTTCTTTTTTTAATTGTCAGAGTGCACATATGCTTGCCAGAGAGAAATACAGAAAGGGGACCATCCCACTGTGTCATGTGGTCATGCCACAGTCCCTTCTCCTACACTTCTCGATTTTGTCAGAATTTGGAGGATTGCATATACATGCACCTGGTACGTTTTTCAGACTACCAGGTCTGCAATTTGAACTGCAGTTGACCATGTGGGATATGGATCCCTTAACTCCTAGACTATGAGGCCAGCCTGAGTTTGTACTTTATATGCACAGATATACATAATTATTTAAAAATCACGCTGGGCACGTGTTCACGTGTGCCCAAGATCCTAGGGGTAGAATGGAGGAAAAGGGACTATAGTGTAGTCACCCCCCCAAGGAGGTGATTTCTTTTTTTTTGTTTTTTGGAGAGGTTTTTGTTATAGTGTGTGTGCGCTTGCCAGAAAGATGGAGAAATAGAAAGTGAGAAATCACCCGCCAGGCAGAATGACCACACCGTAATCCCTTCTCCTCCATTCTCCTCTCGGGATCCTGGGCACGCACGCACATGCACCCGGTGTGAGTTTTAAGCCACCGGGTCCAGGTCTCAAACCATGGTCGACTACATGGGAGTCCAGCGACATAGTCATTACGCCAATTGCTGATCCCGGAGGTGATCTCTTACTTTCCCTCTCACCACTGTCCGTCTCTGTCTCTCTGCCAAGCACATGTGCCCTAAGGCAAAGACCTCTTGGGGAAAAATAAAGATTCCTGGTTCTGTTAATAGAGAACAAGTAACACTATAAGCAGACATTTTGAAATGTGTTCTGGATTACACTGTACAATCATATTACTCTAACAATTACTATATATGTGAAGTGTTCAGAAACAATCTGGATCAGTTAGGAGTTATTCTAGCTGGAGGTTTTTTTTTTTTTTTTAAAGAATTATTTTTTTTAACTTTATTTATTATTATTGTTTTCCAGTTTGATCAGACAGAGAGAGAGAGGGAAAGAAAAAGCAAGCCACCAGGTCCGGGACTTAAACCATGGTCGCCCATGTGGGAGTCCAGTGTCCTTAACCACCATGCCACCTGCCAGCCCCGGCTGAAGAGTCTGACAGCTTCAGGATAGCTATAGAAAACAGAGATTGGGCCAGCTGGTGACATGATGGTTAAACCTGCTGGATCCTACAGGGTCGACTATGATTCAAGTCCTAGATCTGGTAGGTTGGAAAAACTCTGGGTACTTGTTTGTGCATGCCCAAAATCCTCACAGGAGGGAGAAAAGAAGAAGGGACTATAGCATGGCCATCTCCCATAGGGGCTACTTTCCCACAAACCCCCCATCCCCATTCTAGTCTTCTCTCCAGTAAGTGCATGTGCCCTCTAGGAAATTTAAAGAAAGACAGAAGGAAAAAAGGAAGGAAGAAAAATAGAGGCCCATTTTCAGGATATAATTTGATTCTTGTGAAAGAATATTTAGCGTTTAGCTAGAGCTTTAAAAAATTTTTTTAAATCAAACTTGCATACTTTCTTATTAATTTTAAGAACCATTTTCTTATAATCGAAGGATGAAAGAAGAGAATATAATACGATAGCTAATGTAAAGATTTTTAGTTTATTAGTGTTTGACGAGGGAATGTGGTCATCTCAGGAATAGATTTCCTTATGCAGCTAGTACAAATAAAATAAGTTAACAATTTCTTAAAACCATATTTTCCTGGTCCATGAAGTATAGGTTATGAGTTGTAGGATAAAGAGTAAATGGTACAGGGAACCAGCGGTTAGCGTAATGGCTATGTCGCTGGACTCCCACGTAGTCGACCGCGGTTCATGTCCCGGACCCGGTGGCTTAAAACTCATGCCAGGGCGCGTGTGCGTGCGTGCCCAAGATCCCGAGAGGAGAATGGAGGAGAAGGGATTGCGGCGTGACCATCCCCCCTGGGGGGTGATTTCTCGCTTTCTGTCTCTATGTCTCTCTCTGTCTGGCGAGCGCACGCGCCCTACAGTGAAAATCTCTCCAAAAAAAAACAAAGAGAAAGAGTAAATGATACATAGTGGGCACCAATATTTGAGGCAGTGCTGATTTAATCGAAGATAAAAGAGAATATGTCCACCATATATGCTGAAAGAGATATGGTAACTAGAGCTGCAGTACTATAAATGCGAAATCCACGAGAAACAAATCTCAAATCATTCTTTGTGCTTCAATGACTCTCTTTAAACCAATTCAGTTTACAGTCTTGGCGGCAAACTAAAATAGCTCATTAGGTTCTTCAAACATAAAAATGTTGGTTAGATATCCAATGTACTACATTAAGTACAACAGGATTTCTTTTTTTTTTTTTAAGAACCATTTATTTAATTTTATTATAATAATGATGATTTAACATTTGCTTTAGGGCATGTGTGCCCTAAAGAGAGAGACAGAGAGAAAGAAAGACTTGAACCATGGTCGGCCATGTGGGAATCTATCACCTTAACCACCACGCCACCTGTTAGCCCCCATACAACAGAATTTCACTGTAATAAGACATCATTCACATCTTTAAAGGAAAAACTACTGAAATTTTCTGAAAAGATATAGAGGCATTTTAACTGGATTAAAAATTGTACTAAAGTCTGGGGAAGGACAATGTTTCCTTTCAAGTTGAATTTTTTTTTTTTTGGGGGGGAGAGATTTTCACTGTAGGGCGCGTGCGCTCGCCAGACAGACAGAGAGAGACATAGAGACAGAAGCGAGAAATCACCCCCCAGGGGGGATGGTCACACTGCAATCCCTTCTCCTCCATTCTCCTCTTGGGATCTTGGGCATGCACGCACACACGCCCGGCGTGAGTTTTAAGCCACCGGGTCCGGGACGTGAACTGCGGTAGACTACATGGGAGTCCAGCGACATAGCCATTACGCTAACTGCTGGTTCCCAAGTTGAATTTTTTTTTAAATGAGATTTTTGCTATAGGGCTTCTATGCTCACTGGAGAGACAGAAAGACAAGAAAGCGAAAAATCAGCCCCTGGGGGGATGTCCACACTGCAATCCATTCTCCTCCAGGGACTCTGGGCATGCATGTAGGCACACACACCTTGCGTGAGGTTCAAGCTGCCAGGTCTGGGACTCGAACTGCAGTAGACTATGTGGGAGTACAGTGATGTAACCATTTTGCCATCTGCTGGTTGCATAAAGCTGAATTTTAATACAGGTTCATACCTTGAAGCAGGAGGCTCTATAAAGGAGCTGAACTACATGTCCGATGCTAGTTTTAGAAGCTTGAGGAAATCGTGGCTCCAATCTTTGCACCACAAAGAGAACCAATACTTTTCTTGACAAAGCAGAACCATCTTCTAAGGCTAGCAGAACCAGCTTTAGAGCTTCTTCCTGCATTGCTAGGAAGAGTTGGGCAAAACCAAAATTTATCATGTGCAAAGACAAATAATCCATTTATTATAAGGGTAATATTATTTCTGCAGATACCACTCAATCAATGGGAAACACCATAAAAAGATATTTACAGCTATAGTGTTAAACCATTTTGCAGACAATTTTGTATTATATTCTTATTTTAAGAAAGCTGATAAATAATTTTTAATACATTTAAGAAAGACTTCTAGCAAAATAAATAAACTTTTGCTATTAATGATTTCTCAAAAAACAAACAAAAAAAGAATGTACATGAAATTATCCAAGCTATGACTAGTGGGCTATTACTTGAACAACAGAATATTGTCAAGAACTAGTCTCTGTCCATCACTTTACAGTCCCTACATCATATTTTTAGGATTAGCAGTAGAATAAATACCAAACTTTTATTACATACCTGGACCAAGGAACTGGCAGCCCCTGGCCCTAACTGCTGCCCAAAGATTAGAAGAGAGTTGCTGAGGATTCTGGTGCTGGAGAATGAGCTCTGTAACTGTTCGTTCACCTAAAGATCGAGCTGCCCTCATGGCACGAATCCTGCCTTCTTCTTCCACTAGTTGGCAGTGGACCAGAGTCACAAGCTTCCTCTGCATTGGGCGGCTCAGGACACTCTGAGTAGTGCTATTCAGACCCACTCCTTTACAAGAGATAAAACAGGTTTACAGTACAATTTACAACCTGGGAACAATTCAATGAGTGGGCTGACTGACTCATGGGATACGGATATTTCTGGCTCCTACTAGAATATTTAAAACTACACGTGAGGGAACCAGCAGTTAGCGTAATGGCTATGTCGTTGGACTCCCACGTAGTCGACCGCGGTTCGTGTCCCGGACCCGGTGGCTTAAAACTCACGCCGGGCGCGTGTGCGTGCGTGTCCAAGATCCCGAGAGGAGAATGGAGGAGAAGGGATTGCGGCGTGACCATCCCCCCTGGGGGGTGATTTCTCGCTTTCTGTCTCTATGTCTCTCTCTGTCTGTCTGGCGAGCGCACGCGCCCTACAGTGAAAATCTCTCCAAAAAAAAAAAATAATAATAAAAAAAAAAACTACACGTGAAGCACAGCTTGCACTTTAAAGGTATATATATATACATGTATCTTATATGTGATAACATATAACTCTAACATATGTGCATATAACTCTAACATGCATGATGACATTAATTAATCATTTCAAACATGTAAGAAAACAGGAAAAAAGCCAGATAACAGTAATAATTAGTTTAAGATCCAAATCTTGATGTCATAACAGTTCTGGCATATTACTTCTTAGTACATAATCTTACTTTCAAAATTAAACAGCAAACTTCCATGTTTATTACATCCTCCATAGTATATCAAATACAGTAAAACTGCATAAAAGGCAGACTATTCAGGTTGTCAGATTATGGAAAACCCTTTTGAACCACTAGTATATTTCTGTAACCATTCAAAGAATGTTTCCAACATCACATAAACTCTAAATTCACTACTTATTTGATGTGGTTTGTAATGATATTATTTAGCACAAAGTGGGTTTGGTTTACAAAAAATTATGAACTCTACTAACACTGACAAAAAGTTCAGAGTTTTTATGGTAATAGAAGAATCTTTACTAGACACTGCATAACAGATCATTGCATCAAGTTTACCTCTAGCACTGCTGAGTGGTTTCAGGTACAATGCTAATTCTTCTACACATTTCTTAGCTTCCTCATAATGCTTTGTATCTTCAACCCCACTACACAAAGTAATGGGCTGCTGCTCAGGGACCTGAAAGTCAAAAGAAAAGGTCTGAATATGCATTAATTAAACAAATGTTTTACTGAATACAGTGTATACACTAATAACTCCAACACTGGCAACATCAAAACTTCCACTGATTTACTAAATTCTCTCAAAGACCTTTTTCTATATACACACATCTACTGTGCAGTTTTGGTTTTGCCAGCATATTCAGACACACAATTCACACACCACATAGTTGACTAGCTTAAAGTATGCAACCCAGTGGGTTATTTTAGTATATTCACAGCTATGTAACCATCAACAAAATTAACTTTAGATATTTCATCGCTCCAAAACCAGTAGATGGCGTAATGATTATGTCGCTGGACTCCCACATAGTTCCGGGGAACAAGTGCCATACCTGGTGGCATCAAACTTATGCCAGGCACGTATGCATGTGTGCCCAAAATCCCCAGAGGAGAATAGATTGCAGCACTGCCATCTCCCCTGAAGGTGATTTCTCACTTTCTGTTTCTCTGTCTCTTTGGTGAGTATACGCATCCTATGGCAAAAATTTCTAAAAAAAAAAAAAAAAAAAGCCATCACTCCAAAAAGAAACCCCATTTAAGAGTCTCAGCAGCCCTAGGAATCATGAGCCCTTCTAAATATCAAACAGATTTGCCTATTTTGGACATCTTATATAAAACAAATTACAGAATCATACAACATGTGGTCTTTATTTTTTTTTTGTTTTTCTTTTTTTTGCTATAGGGCACGTGCACTTGCCAAAGAGAGAGACAGATAGAAAGTGAGAAATCACTCCCCTGGGTGTATGGCCATACCGCAATCCTTTCTCCTCCTGGATCTTGGGCATACATGCATAAGTGTCTGGGATGAGTTTCAAGCTACCAGGCCTGAGACTTGAACCGGGTCAACCATGTGTGAGTCCAGCAATGTAAACATTACACCATCTGCTGATCCTGATATGTTGTCATTTTGGACTCATTTCTTTAGCTGAGCATAATATCTAGCATATATCAGTACTTCATATATTTTTTTGGCTAAATTAACATTCTACTCTACAGATTTATTACATTCATCTCCACACTCTTAACAGACATTTGTGCTGTTTCCATTTTTTGACTACTATGAATAATGCTACATGAACATTTCTGTACAAATTTTTCTGTGGATGTATGTTTTTGCTTCTCTTGGGTATATAACTAGGAGTGGTTCCTTTAGTGAAACTGCCAAACTGTTCCAAAATTTGGTATCATTTTTACATATCTCCCAGCAGTGTTTCTGTTCTGACAGCCATCTTAGGTGGGCGGAAATATTTCACTGTGTTGTGTATGTGTGTGTGTACACACATACTTTTTAGGTTTTTGCCACAGGGTGTGTGTGCTTGCAGGAGAGAGGGAGGGAAAATGAGAAATCACTCCCCAGGGAGGATGGTCACATCCTCAATCCCTTCTCCATTCTACTCTTGGGATTTTGGGGCACGCATGCACACCTGCATGATCAACCATGTAGGAGTCCAATGCCTTCACGACCACACCATCTACGGGCTCCAGCAATTGCATGAGGTCATCAGGAAAGTCATGTCATATTTTCTTATGTTTTTCTAAGCAAAAATGCATCATGACTTCGCCAATGATGCAATCAATAGATATTTATGTGGCACAATGTGATATTCTGACATATGATTACAATGTAGATGGTTTAAAATCAGCTAATTAATAAATCTATCACCTCACATACTTATAATTTTTTTCTAGTGAGACATTTAAAATCTACTCTTCTAGCAATTTCAATACATGCAATGCATGATTATTTGTTATAGTTTTATCATTCTGTGCAAGAGATCACTAAAACTTATTAGTAAGTAAAACTTTGTATCCTTTGGTCAGCACCGCCCTTTTTCCCCAACTAAAGCCGCAGCCTGACCATAATTTTGATTTGTATTTCCCTGATAGTTAATGATATTAATATGTATCCTTTCATGTACTTATTGGCCATTTGCATATCTTCTCTAGAGAACTGTCTACTCAGATCCTTTCCCTGTTTTATTCAATACACTATTTTAGGAGAGACAAGAGGCAGGGCTTCAGATGAAGATTCCTCCATGGGTCCTGAGAACTAATGAGAGAAAATGATTTTCTACTGATAATTCTTCCTCCAGCCCTCGATCTCGAGTGTTAGGGAGCCCTTCTAGACTTATTTCTGTTTCTGTCTCTCTCTGCCTCTGTCTTCTCATTTTTTTGTAAATTTTCCTTTTTAAAAATTTTTAAGGTTAAGTATTCTCTTGGCTTTCAGCCCCTCCTTTATCTTGCTAATAATCCCCTCTCCCCTGCCCATCCAGGAAAGGCAAGAGGCAAGCCTTGAAAAGAAGACTCCTCCATGGCTCCTGAGAACTAGTGATTTCACAAGGTGCACTTTCGTGCCACGCTATTTTTTTATTTTTTTGTGTTTGTTTTTTAAATAAATTTTAAAAATTATATTATTTTTTCCTTCTTTTCTCCTATGTTCCCCACCCCCCGTTTTCTTTCTTTTTCTTTAACCTCATCACTCTGCTCCTCAGTCTCCATTCACTGTGTTTCTAGAAGGATCAAAGGAGAACCATTGCCAAACATCCAAATACTATTAAGATTAATGTATTCCTCAATATCCACTGAATCTGCTGCACAAAGGTATAAAAATGGAATGGCAAAGAGATTCCAGATCACCTCCTTCTGCACGCTCTTGAACGCTCAGATTGAACTTCAAGAATTAAGAAGAAACACACCATCCATCAGATGACTAGAAATCACCACAGGGCCACAAGAAATATGGGAAAGCAAGAAAATACCTCTCCTCCCAGGGAAAAGAATAACTCCCCTTTATCCACAGATAGTTCAATGGAAATCATGGAAATGTCTGATGAAGTATTTAGAATATTCAAAATGACGAAACTAACAGAGATAGAAATGAACTGCAGAAGAGTCAGGAGAAAGGAGATGATGAGTTCCAGGAAGTGAGGAAACTCTTGCAAGATCTAAAAGAGGAATTACACACTTTAAAAAAGAATCCAATCTGTTAGAGATGTAGGCTGTAATACAGAAAGTCAAAAGCTTCCTTGAAAGTATTAAAAGTAGACTAGTTCATACAGAAAATAGAATCTCATATGTAGAAGAGAAAACTGCTGGCCTAGAAAAATCCACCACAAAGACTGAGAAAATTGCCCCCAAAAATGAGAATAATATATGAGAAATACCAGATACCATCAAACATCCACATATCTGGATAATTGGTATCCCAGAAGGCAAAGAGACTCATAAGGGCATTAATAATCTATTCCATGAGAGACCAGCAGTTAGTGTAATGGTTATGTCGCTGGACTCCCACGCAATCGACTGTGGTTTGTGTTCCAGACCCGGTGGCTTAAACTCACGCCGGGCGCATGTGCATGCATGCCCAAGACCCCAAGAGGAGAATGAAGAAGGGATTGCGGTGTGGCCATCCCCCCTAGGGGGTGATTTCTCGCTTTCTATCTCTCTGTCTCTCTCTCTTTCTGGTGAGTGCACGAGCCCTATAGCAAAAACCTCTAAAAAAAAAAAAAAAGAAAGAAAAAAAATCTATTCCATGAAATCCTGCAAGGAAACTTTCCAAACCTAGAGAGGCACTCAAAGATCCAGTCTCAAGAAATACAAAGGACCTTGGGAACCAGCAGTTAGCGTAATGGCTATGTCGCTGGACTCCCACGTAGTCGACTGCGGTTCGTGTCCTGGACCCGGTGGCTTAAAACTCACGCCGGGCGCATGTGCATGCATGCCCAAGATCCCGAGAGGAGAATGGAGGAGAAGGGATTGCGGCGTGACCATCCCCCCTGGGGGGTGATTTCTCGCTTTCTGTCTCTATGTCTCTCTCTGTCTGTCTGGCGAGCGCACGCGCCCTACAGTGAAAATCTCTCCAAAAAAAAAAAAGAAATACAAAGGACCTCAAGTAGAATCAACCCAAGAGGATCTTCTCCAAGACACATTATAGCCAGACTGACCAAAACCACAGACAAAGATACTAAGATTGGCAAGAGAAAAATGGCAAGTTATCTACAAAGGATAGTCCATCAGGCTAACATCAGACCTCTCATCGGAAACAATTTGAGTGAGGAAAGAATGGGAAAATATATTCAAAATGTTAAGGGAAAAGCACTTTCAACCAAGAATACTGTACCCGGCAAGACTATCCTTTATATGGGAACAAAAGACAAGAACATTCTCAGATAAACAAAACCTAAAAGAATTTACCAACGCCAGACCAGACCTCCATGTTGACGATAACATGCATGATTAAGCCACTATGCAGTATATTCTCGATGGGAAATATTTTGTATGCTGTGGCGATGCTTAGGGAATGAATGCAAATTAATTAATTAAAAAAATGTTTCAGGAAAAAAAAAAAGCTCCTGGAAATACGTGTAATGGGAAAACCATGCATGAATATCAAAAAGTTTTTGTACCAAAATAAATTCACACTTTAATTGTAAAATAAAGAAAAAAACTTATTTTTATATAACAACAATGTTATATTTTATGTAACATTTTTGTATTTAGTTAGTTAGCAAGCTAATTAACTAATTAGGGTGTGTGTACTCAAGAAAGAAGGAAGAGAGAGAAATCACCTCTCCAGGTGGGATGATCATGCTACAATCCCTTCTCCTTCATTCTCTTGGGATTTTGCACACACACACACACACACACACACACACACACACACACACCTGGGCATGTTTTCTCAAGCAGCCAGCTCCAGGACTCAAACAGCAGAGCTGGCCATGTGCAATCCAACTGCCTTAACCTCCACACCACCTGTTGGCCCTGTAACAATTTTAGATTTACAGAAAAATGGCAAAGATAGTACAGAGAATCTTCATTACCTGTATAGAGTTTGCCCTATTAACACCTTAAATAGGAATGTCGCATTTGTTAAAATTAATGAGTCAATATGGATACATCTGTTACTATTAATATAAATCCATAAATATTACTCAAGTTAAGGTATTTTCTCTA